TATACATTACATCTAATTAGATAAACACAATTTAAAAAAAAAAATTCCCACTCTTTTAGTTGTAAATTTGGCCTGATAAAAGTGAAAGAAAAATAATTAATCATTATATGCATATAAATAACTCACAATACTTTATTTACATTATATGAATATAAATAACTCACAATACTTTATTTACATTTGTGCAAATGCACAGGGTCTAATACTAGTTACATTAAATTTACAGTACAATTTACAAATCCAAAATTTTGGCCAAAAATTATCCAGTTATATTTATAGTAAATAGTGTTTCGACGTAAGATACAAGTTCGTTATAATATTTAATTAAATGGGACCCTTTAAGCGAAATTCCTAGATCGGTCGGATTATCGTTAAGTTTTTTTTTAAAAAAAAATAAGTCTAAAATTCAATTTTAAATTAAAATTATCCTTATCCATTTTAAAAACTTACTGAGACTACTATTGATAAATTAAATTTGGTAGAACTAGTTTTGTTAAACTCTCATAGCTACAGAACAGAAGTGTACTTCCCCTAAATAATTTCAGTAAAACTACTTCTGATAAACTGTTATAGTTGCATGTATAATGTTTTTATGGAGATGCTACGGTCCCGTTATGGAACCATTTCGTCGGGGTTTGTAACTATTAAATCAACTATTCCTGACGGTTTCATGATAATCCAACGGATACAAATCTCGACAGAATGGTTCCGTAACGGGTCCGTAGCATTTCCCTATTTTTGGAACTCTTATAATCTTATTGAGTGTACGTGTTTGCTTGTAGATGTAAATGAAAGATTAATTCACATTTGACATCAACAATATAAGAAAAAAAATCCAGCAAAACAAAGAAAAGAAAGAGCAAATTAACTTAGTCTCACAAACACACTTCATAATTTGCTTCAAGAAACCAACTCAAATTAAAATGGTGGTGATTTAACTAATTTACTATAGTGTGGCTTTATAGGTTCCTATAGTGTACAAACCAACAATAGCCGGTAGCTCCATTTTCTTCATTTCCCTCGTGACGAGATTGTAGATTAGAATCTCCTTCCCGCACATATCACACAAAGGATCAACGCCTCCAAGTACTTAACCCACCCGACCGGAGTTATACCGACATTGCATCGTGTAGATTCGAATTCGCTCTTGTGACCCTCCAAGGAAAACTCTCCCGACTTTCTCCACTCGAATGTGTCCCGACACATCTCCCAAACTTCCCACGAGAGCTCCCCACACTCGCGCAATAACGATAAACACCTTCCGGTCGACAAATAAGTATTCTTAACAACGTCCCCTCTCGTGTAGCCGGGCCCGGAGCTCTCCGTGAAGGCCTCCGTTTCCAAATTCAAAGTCAATACTTTGTCCTCATTCAAGCTCCAATGCATAAAACCTTCGGTAATAAAAACAGAGCCAAGTTTCGACAACTTGTGCTCATCAAACTCCACGACTCTCCACGACTCGTCACCAACGGTTAGTATGTGAAACTCGTGCATGTTCGTGGCTTTGTAGTAATCGGGAGCATAGTATACAACCACTTTGCAATCCATGGATTCGGGAACATGCGCACTCCCCACAATTGCATTTGGGGATATCCAGAACGGTTGACGAGTGGGGGGAGATTAAGCATTTGTCCGGTCGAGCGATGAGAGAGGCATACCTCCTTAAAAAGCTTTCCCGTGGAAAAAGCTAAGCGAAGCTCCGAACAATCGGCTGCGGCAACGCTAGGTGCAATGGGGGCTCGTCTCGGATATCTCGACCCGCCCATCTCGAACGCCCATCGAGAAACCGACATTGCAAACTTTGAAGAGAAGGTCGTAAGTGTAGCTCGACGACTCGTCACGGTGCCACCTCTCGGAAAACGGGGGGTTTAGCAAGTGCCAACCATCGGAAATCGAGTCGACTAGCATGAATTCGTTCAACGACATGACTTCGAGTTCCCTTTTGGGACATTCATATATATCAATACAACTAAGTCAGTCTGTGATCATATAGAGATAATAAGTTCCTTTTCAGGACATGCATATATAAAGATAATTATTCCAATCAAACACTCTTTTAAGCAATTGAAACTAAATTAATTATGAATTAATTTTTTGGATTTGGGACATGTAAATATATGAAAACAACAACGCACGTTTCATATACAGATTATTGTTCCAATCAAACCCTTTTTACATAACTGTCTAACTAAATTCGATGCTTTAGGTAAACTAATTGAAGCGTAATGACCTGAATTGGGTGGTCGTCCTCCGGCAGCTATGGGTAGCGCGGCGGCTGATTTACTTGGAGAGTAGGGAAAGTCAAATATATATATTCCGTCGGGATTTATAACCGTTAGATAATCGTCGTGAATAGCTGATCTAACGGATACAAACCCGGGGCGAAATGGTTATATAATGAGACTGTAGAGACGTAGGGTTAAGCGGAAAGAGCCCAGGCCCACACGAGAAGCTAAAAAACAAAAAAAAAGTCCTATTCTTGGTCATTATTGAAAACTAGATTTATCCCCTTCCCCTCCGTCTAATACTCTTTGCCATGGCTTTCTCCATCCGAGCCGCCGCCTTGTGCTCTTCAGCCACCATAACTTCATCCCGCCGCCTGTCTTACAGAAATTTTGCTGGTTATTATAATCCCAAATTGGCCTGCAGCTGGAAGAAACCATCAATCAAATTCCCCCCTCGTATGTTGGGCCGTAACAATACTACTTGTGCTGTGATGATGATGAGCACAAGCACCAGCCGAGTCGACGACGAACCCCAACCCCAGCCACCAACAACCTCGCCCTGGCTGCCCAAACCCTCGCCATGGCTCATGCTACCACCAATCACAGTTGATGAATACAGTAGTGAACATATGGTTTATCAGTTTTACAGCCTCGGAGATAAAAGAGTCATCAGCCTCAAAAAAACGCCACAACA